TTCGCTTAATTCTGATTTAACCCCTAAGGGATCTGACTTACATTCAGGGTACTAAGTGATATTATCGATACCACAGGGACCTTACAATTATTTAAGCATACCTCAGGGGGTGTGTGTAATTTACCCTTTAACCTTTATATACTCGTCTTCCTCCGCACACACACACACGCGCACACACACACAGAGATCCCCTGTTTTTTTCTTCTAGTTCAGATCTCCAAATATTCAACAGGACAAGTTCCTTACTTCATAAAAAGGTAATTTTATTTATCGAGATTATTTAATAGTGCGCATGTATTATTTACAATAATCGTAATTAAAAATTCATTCTGATTTTTTTTTTTTTTTTTGTGTGTGTTTGATATTTTAGGTGTAATAAAATGGGCCGCCACCACCACCACCACGACTGCGATAGTCGGTACGATAATCCGGTGGCGGCGTGTTTATGCTGCCCTTGTTTATTAATCGCTTCTATTTTTGGAATGATTGGGCGCTGCATTTCTGCTGCTTGTTATCCTGTTTTGCACTGCTTTGGATTGGACCACCACCACCACCATCACCACCATTGCTGATTAATTATTTATCTACAATATCTTCTTATTCGGTAAATTGCAACTACCTCCCTGATATAAAGTTTAATTACAAAACAACCCCTTATTTTGTATATACATCCAGTCCTTGCTGTTTGTAAATTTCTTACATCCACCCCCTACAAAAGGGTGTTAATGTAAGAAATTTACAAATTGCAAGGGTGGATGTAATTATGGAAAAATAAAGGGATTTTTTGTAAATAAACCTTAACTCAGGGGGCAATTGTAATTTACCCTATTTATTTTTATAAATTTCGGCTCTAGTTTTGATAAATCTTTATTTGTTGGAATTCTTTTAAGTTAATTTTGGATGTTTAAGCTATTATGAATTTATGATTGGTTGGAAGTATTTATGGGATATATTTTAATTTTGTTTGGAAGAATTCGTGCTAAGAATTAAAGTAATATTTATTTATTATTCGGCAAAATATTTTCTTACCATAGTAGTGATAAAATATCAATGGATTCTCAGAAAAGTTTTTTTTTGGGAAAATGAATGTTAATATTGATTTCTATTTCAATGGATATGTTTTACTATATGAGTTAAATTTAGGGGTGGTCATTAGGTAAAACCATACTGAATTGTACCAAAATTTTGGTACTTTGAAAATTTGTACCGTTTACGGAATCGAATTATATACATGTTTTAAGAAAAAGTAAAAGGAAGTATTTAAACCAATTAATTCTTGAATGTGACATTTAAATTTAAATAAGAGGCTAGTTTGTAAATAACGGAAAATTTTATCAATCTATAAGTATTTTATAATTTGTTATAATTTTAAAGGATTTAAAATAAAAGAAAAAAAATAAATACATGTTAAATTTTTCGGTATTCGTTACGGTACATCAGACATCAATACAGTATACAATACCATACCGGAATTCAAAACAAAAGGAAAAAAACAAATACCCAACCGAATTTTCGATCGTATTTGACACGTACGGAATTTTCAGTTCGATCGATTTACCGAACAAGTGAACACCCCTAGTTAAATCATACTAATGTGAATTTCAATTTTATTTTTTTGGAATAATAGAATCGAGACAAGAATTTAAGTGTATGAAAGTTTGACAAACCCAATGCAAGAACTTGACCTATATGAAAATTACAAGCAACTTTGGAGCAAAAAACAAAAAGGCAATCCATATAAATTGCTGTAGCAAAAAATTAAGGCAATAATAAGGAATGAATAATAGCCATTTTTTAAAGAATCCCCTATGAAGCTCTAACTGTAGAACTGCACAGAAACTGACATCTCAATTTCTTTACATCTGAAAACTTGAGAGGCTTCAACATGAACATTTCTGCTCCCTCTTCCAAACACCTATTCATTTTCAAAAACAATAAAAAAAATTCATATTAGTAATTATTCTATCTCGAACTAAAAATCGAGATATGAATCGAAAAGTCGATTTACTTGTTAATTCGCGTAGGTACGTTCTCGGACGACATTATGACAACCGGCACATCCTTCATAACAGACGACTCCTGCTCGAAACAAGTCATTCTTAAAATCATCATAAAAACAATTAAGGCTAACCCGGAAAATTATTTTGGCGGGTCGACCTAAAATACAATTAGGGCCAAATCGGAAAATGATAAGCCATGACAAAATGATAAGCCATGACTAATCTCCCCAACCAAACAAAGGTCTCTATGTATTAATTAGGGCAAATTACGGCAACCCCTGAGGTATGGCCAAATTACGAAAAAACCCCTCTTGTTTGGGTAATTACAGTCACCCCTCTTTTTAAATATTTTTTACATATAATTCATGTCATTTGTTATTACCGAACCAAATCGTTTTATTCAGTTCGGTAAACGTTATGAAATGTTGGCCTACCGAAATTTCTGTTCGGTTTTACATCCCTAAATTTACATCTGTAGGGGTATTTTCGTAAGATAATACATACTTAAAGGGTGGTTGTAATTACCCAAACATGAGGGGGATTTTAGTAATGTGACCATAACTCAGTGGTGGGCCGTAATTTGCCCAATTAATTAATATGGTAATTAATTACCTTAATCTTCTTAAGCAGCTCATATCCAGTCATTCCTGGCATGCAATAATCTGTGATAATCATATTCACCTTTGAAGCCTGCTTCATCAATCACAAGTAATTATTTATTCTTGTCATATATTTTAATATTTAATAATTGTCTGATTGAAGACCAAAAATACATATTAATAAATTAATAAAACCTACATTGTCATTTGAAGATGTCTGGTTGTTCTCTACTAAGCCCAGATACTCCAAAGCCCTCTGCCCATTCTCTGCAGTTGTCACTACAAAAATAAAAATAAAAATATTTTAATTTCTTATTTAAAAAGATTTCCCATTTGATAATTAGCCAGAAAATAAAGGACCGAGAAATAAATAATTACCTTTGCAAGATGAATTCTTGAGTAATTTCTCAACAAGTATTCGGTCTATCAAATTGTCATCAACTGCCAACACATGGGGTTCTTCAACAAAACCTACTGCCCCATCCATTTTTCTCAAATATAATATATATGTGTGTGTGTGTGTGTGTGTGTGTGTGTGTGTGTGTGTGTGTGTGTGTGTACCAGAAAAAATGAAAAATAAAGCAATAAGGGAGAGAAAGGCAAAAAGGGTTGGTATAGAATTTAAAAAAAACACACAATTTGGAATGTGAAACATCAATCTAGCTGTTGGTATTTATAAAAAAAAAATAATAATAATAATAATAATAATAGTAAATAAATAAAAAGCTACAAAAGTTTTGGTCACAGATATTCCGTGATCTTCTTAGGGTTGCTACAGATTCTTGAATACTTCATAGCAAATCCCATTTGTTTTTCTCTCTCTATCTATTTTTCTTACGCAAAATTAGTATAAGTATCAATATCAGAATCTCGACGGTGGTTCGTGAGATCTCTATAATCAACCTCATTAATCCCTCTTAAATAATGGATTTTTGGTTTTTTTTAAATTTTGTTGTGTTTTGATCATTTAATTAATTAATGGCTAAGTTAGTAGTAGTCATCAATATATCACATCCACTCTCTATTTAAAGTTGGGTTTGTTATAGCTGTTACGCCACACAATCTCACATATTATTGCATTATTATTATTATTCATAATAATAATAGTATCCTAGTATTGGATTTGTTTTCTAGTATTGTCACTGTGTGTGTTTGTATATGGCATATATCTTAATTAATATGGTATCCTTCTTTTTTGTTTAATTGATTTTTTTAGGCGGTGTTTGCAAAATTAGTTGTAAAAGTACAAATATCAATATTAAATGTTCAATGATACTATACTCTTTTTTTTTTTTTTTTAAATAATGAAAAACTTGCAGCTAACCATATTGATGCACTGGATATTGGGTAAACATATACTCTTGTATAATAGTTTGCAACCATACTAGATTAACTATGTGTGACAAGCTTCATCTAGCGACTGTTGGCAAGGAGATTCAAATTTGGATCAATTGACACAGCCTCACTTGCTCCAACCGCTAGGTCATCCATTTGGGACCAATGATACTATATTTGTTCTCAAATTTAGAGTAAATTTAAATTTTTTAAACGAGAGATGGTAATTCTATGGTATGTTAATCGAAGTTAAATCAAAAGACATTTTATGTTCGAAATCCACCACTATAATTTTAAAATATTCCACCAAATGATTAGGGCTAGTAATTGAGTCGGATCTATTCGAAACTCGATTATTCGATTCGATTTTATTTGAATCGAGCTTAACTAACTATGATTCGAGCTGAGTTTCATATTTTTTACTAAATCCAATTTATTTATGAGCTGAGTTTGAGTCAGTTGTGGGTCAACCCGAACCCAAACGATTACGTTAATAATTAAATAAATAATATATTTATTATTTTAGGCTCAACATTTAGAAAATAGTTAGAATTACATCTAGAATTGCTTCTATCTCATTTTGGACTATGATGCATTTTTGTCATATTAAGCCGTGTTCTAAATAGCGGTCGTGGCGGTCGATATATCGGCCGCCATATCGGTATCGGTTATAAACCTTTACGATTTTGTTGAGGCGGTTTGGAATATCGGTTTTTTACGGCGACGCGGTTTGCGGCGGTTTTTTGGCGGGTCAAACCGATATATCGGTCAACAAATCGTTTTTTTTTTTTTTTTTTTAAATTTAAATTAAAATGAAATTATGTTTTGATTTTTTGTTTTTCTCCAATTCTTTCAACTTCCAAAACCAAACCAAGTACTACCCCGCAATTTATGCTTTGTTGTGTTTATATTAATTGTTGATGCGAAAGACTTGCGTAGTACTTGTATTTCGTAAGAATCTTTTATTATATTATGATCTTATTATTTTTAATTTTTTGTTATTTATTGAGTAATTAGAATTATATAATAACATATGAATGATAGGATAGAATTATGTTTAAATATTCTTTTATATATATTTTGAGTATTTACAAATAATTTTTTAGAAATATATTACACTAAATTTAAAAACCGATATATTTCCGATTTATCTCCGATAAATCACCGCCACGCCGATTTATCGTGTGGCGGTCCCAAACCGCCACGTACCCGATAACCGCCTTTTAGAACCTTGATATTAAGTACTTAAAGATTAAACATTTGGAACGTTAAACTTCTTTTGTTTTGAGGAACACACTATGGTTTTCATTTTACAATGCAAATATAGTTTTTATCTTATTTTACTTTTCATGAATATCCCAGATGTTCTTCTTCGGTTGTGAAGGCAATTTTTTTAACACGTTCGACTGGAAAATTGTAAAGTATGTAATTGTTCGATATAAACCTAAAACCCGAAAAAATATACGAGTCGAGGTCGAGCCCATAGTTACAAGACCTCATAATATATGAGTTTAAGCCTATAATCATGAGATCCGATCGTATGGGAGCTTGAGCCACATAGTCTGATTGACAGCCCTACACATGATTGTAACTAAATGTTAAATAACGCACCCTACTAAAATCGTTCAACATATGCAAAATTAGAATTTAGTGACTAAGGGTATAGTTTCAAAAAAACAAAAATCCTAAATGCTGGAAATGCATGTTCTCAAATGTTCAAAAATCAGGTTTAATCAATTATCTTAAAAATAGAGGGTGTTTTGGCTAAGCTTATAAGCTCTTAAAAATATATGTAAGATGTTTAAGAAGAGTTTATAAGCTTGTCAAAAGTGTTTGGTAATGTTTTTCAAAAACATCTTATTTTTTTAAACAAGCAGATGGAGAGGTTTTAATTTTTTTTTTTTAAAAAGTACATTCACCCCACATTTTTATCCAAACACTTCATAAATTAATTTAAAAAATGAGATATAACAACTTATCAACTCTTAAAACAACTTATTAGATGTTAAAGTTTATCGGTAATTTAAATAAGTTTCACCAAACGAGCCCATAATCGTACTGTTTTGAAAAGAGGTTTAATTTTTATTGTATATTTTTGTAAAATACCTTCAATATTCCAACAAAGTGGATCTAGATATAAATAATAATAAAAGGGTACAAATTTCATTAGTTATAAAAGCACTTTTAAACCAAGAAAAATGTTGATACTTTTGAATTTAGTGACACAAAAAATCTTATTTTTAGAGAAGCATAACAAAAGATTAGGTTTGCAAGTACCCAAAAGTAGATTATGAACAAAAAAGAAAAAAAACTCAAAATCTATTTTGAAAAACTTTTGCAAATGCCAACTAAATATTTGTTTCGTGAAAGAAAATGAAAAGAATCTTGATCAAAATTATACAAATTTTCAAGATATTTTGTTGAAGATCATAAAAAATGATTTTCTTTGAAAAGTTTCAAGTGAAATGGAACACGAAATCTTGTAACCACAATAATATGTTGTGGATTGTGATCATTAAATAATAAATATGGAGTCCCAAGAACTTAGTTATTTACCAAGGGGGGCTTGTCCCACTTAAATTAAACTCAGCAGCATTTAATATCGTATGCATCATTTATTAGGTTCATGGAATATTTGTTTTGGAAGTATTTTCAAAATTCAAATTTTATTTTATTTCTTTTGAGAAATCAAAGTAACAAAAAGAAATGATTGAACGTTTATTGTTCTACTTAGGGATGAAAATCGGACGAAATAGATCAGAAACGACATTTCTATAATATTTTCAATTTTGTTATTAGTAGAAAATGAGTTCCAATTTCCGTTTCGAAAAAATCGGAATGCCCCAGAATCGGTGGAATTTCGGGATTTTCATAAACTACATTAGTTTATAATCTCTTGTTCCACCCATTAAACTACGAATCTTCTTAACGTTCACCCTTGAATTGTCAAATTTAGTGGAATCTTCTAAATTATATGGAATATTCTCAAGTTTGTACATGTTTTATCTCATTCGAACTCCATATTTTGAAGCAATATGATAATAAGACGTGTTTTTTGGGTTATATATATGATATATCAGATTGTGGTGCATCAAAAATTGCATTTTTGCACAAAATGAGTACAAATTGGAGAACATTGCACGGAATCTAGAAGATTATGTTGAATTTGATACCATACGGGTGGATATGTAAGAAGATTCATAATTGACAAGATAGTTGTAATTATCCAAACATAATTTTTTTTTTTCGTAATTTAACCTTACTCAAGTGTGGTTGTAGTTTATCCATTAAAAAAGAGTTGGTAAAAGGCAAATCAAAGGAAAATCGTCCACCTCTAAAATTAAATCGAACGAAATTCAATTACTTCAAAAACATCAGTTGACACCAACTAAACAATTAACATTAGTTGATTAAAGTCAGTTGACTAACATTAATGATTTTAACATATGACAGACATTAGTTCATAAACTATCAGTTAACAAACCCAGCTGAAAATATATTAATTGACTAAATTTTGAAGAGATGAACTAATACGATACAACATAAATTGACATTAGCTGACTAAAGTCAAGTTGATAAACAATAAATCATCTCAACATTAGTACACTCATATTTTTTTAGCATAAATTAGTTGACTAAGATTAGTACTAGTAACATATGACAAACTTTAGTTAAAAAAATATATACTAGTTAACAAACATTCGCTGAGAATATTGGATCCACTCTCTTCCGCTGCCCATGTTCACTGTAAACAATGTATGCCCCAATTGGAACCATAAAATATCTTTAGTAGTGAATATAAATTCTTGGTCAAAACTTCGATAGAGGAAGAAACAATGAAGGTGAGGGCACCAAGAGACTATGCGCGGAAAATCCACATGAAGTAATCAACACTGATTGTGCAGACCTTGATTGCAATAACGAAAAATTATTAGATTTGAAAGTGTGTGGCTAATTCTCTGGTGGCGGTGGCGGTGGCGGCTTAGGCGACGTAACGAAAGAGATAAGAAGATCGTGGTAGAAAGGGTGGAAGCGGTGAGTAAGCTAGAGTGAGTTTATGCTTTTCTAACTTATGAAGTCGGTTTTTGCGGAGGAATCTCAAATAAAAGTAAGTACGGCCATTTTCATTGCACAATTTTGACAGTTTTGGGAGGGTTTATTTTAAATGAAAGATGAATGGCAGACGACGGACCAATTTGTAGCAAAACTTGGTTCTATGGGCCTAAGTCAAATTACCCCTAATTTATTAAATTAGGAATGCTTATAATATGTTTCTTTGAAATATTTTATTACAATTAATTTTATTTAAACATAATCAAATATTAGATCAAATAAAAAAAATATTACCAAACATTTATGCAATAATAAAATTTAAAATTAAATGGCAAAAAGGTCCATCACATGGGACTTAAATGCATTTTTGGTCCACAAAAAAAACAGTCTCTCAATTAAACCCATCCTCATGTCTTGAGTCTAAAATACCCTCAATAATATAATTATTATCAATTCCACCCATTATGCTCTAACTTCCTCAATATTACACATTGACCCCGAATTTAAACAAATATATCACATTAACCCCCAAAACTTTTTTTTTCAAAAAATAATTTTTTTTCTGAAATGTTTTTTCTCCGGCCAGATTCCGGCGTTGATTTTTTTTTTTTTGAAATTCTTTTTTTCCTGAAATTTTTTTCCGGCCGGTCAACCACCGTTGACCGTCGGTCTCCGGCGTTGACTTTTTTTTTTTTTTTTGATTTTTTTTCTTAGAAAAAAAATATTTTTATTAATATTACTGTCTTGGCTACTAAATTACTGTTTGGGACAGTAATATTATGAATATTATTTTTTTTCCGAACAGTAATATTATTAATATTATTGTCTAAGACAGTTAAATTACGGTTGGAGACAGTAATATTAATTAAAATATTTTTTTTAGGAAAAAAAAAAGAGTCAATTAACAGTTAAATTGCTGTGTCCGACAGTTAAATAACTTCTGGAGACAGTAATTTAGCAACGAATACAGTAATATTAATTAAAATATTTTTGAAGAAAAAAAAAAAAAGTCAATTAACAGTTAAATTACTGTCTCCGACAGTTAAATAACTGCCGGAGACAGTAATTTAGCAGCCAAGACAGTAATATTAATTAAAATATGTTTTTAAGAAAAAAAAAATTATATAAAAAGAAAAAGTCAACGTTGGAGACCCGGCGGTCAACGGCAGTTGACCGGCCGGAAAAAAATTTCAGGAAAAAAAAAGTCAAAATTGGGGTCTCCGGTGCGGGTCAAAATTGGGGTCAAAATTGAAATTAGGGTTAAAATTGGTTAATTGATGAAATTGGGCTAACTTGGGGTGTAAATCATGAAATTGGAGTTAAATTGAGTTTCAATGAATTTGGGGTAATTTTGGTATATATAAAAGGATTTTCCTTATTTGCAAATAAGTTTGAATGGGCTGAATTTATTTGAAAAACAAAAAACTTGAATGTCCCTCTTTTAATTAAGTGCACTTGTCATGGACGTATTTGCCATTACCTTTTAACTTTTCCATATCCAAATCTAAAAATAAAAAATTTAAAATAAAAATATGTAAATTGTTTAACTATTTCGAGATACACGTGTTATTTGAGACATCTGAGAGCATTCTACTCTACTTGGGTTATCGGTTGCTGAAAGCCTGAAACAACTAATAAAACACATATATTATCGGTTATTAATAATAATAATAATAATAATAATAATAATAATCCTAAATATCCTAATCGGTCCTTTTTTTATTTCGCAATTCCGAGCCCTAATTTATCATCTTCTCTCAACGTTTAATCACTACCACCATCATATCAGAATTCTCACCGTCTGCCCGCCACCAGCCACCATCCGCCACCGTCGACCACCATCCGCCACCAGCCGACCACCACCTCATCATCACCGTCTCCATTCACCTTCAATCTCCTGCTTTCTACAGCAAAAGGTCTCCACCACCGGAGTTCAGTTGCTGCTAAACTCCAAAGGTAGGTTTTTTACACATAAGCACTTCTTAGAGGTTAATTGCATAATCAATTCGCTTATTTTATTTAACCAATAATTTTAAATATATGTGTTTCAACTGTTATGAATGATTTGCGGAGCTGGATCTTAACAATGTGTTTTCTTTTGGGTTTTAATGTATTTATGCCGACGCCCACTAGGGTTTATGAATTATGCAATCGTAATAATTTTTGTGTGCTGATTGGGTGCTGATTATGAATTACCATGTACTGGTCACAATTTTTTATTTTATTTATTTATTTATTTGTTTATTCATTTTTAATTTCCCTGTTGTATTACTGTTTTGCAGAAACAAAAGAGCAAATTTGAAGTATTAACAAGACATGGGAGGAGGAAGGAAGAATCTTAAGAGGGCAGTCGAGTCTGAAATGGCGACTCTTCAACAAGGTCAAAGCATAATGCAGGTTGTCGAACTGAGGGGTTCTAATCATATCGAGGTATAAACTTTTTTATCTTAATGTCTTTTAGTGTTCAAATCGAAGGTTGTCTAACTCCGTCGATGCTGTTTGTGAAGGTAATGGACTCGAAAGGAGATAAATTTATAGCATTGTTTCCAGCGAAATTCCACAAAAGCATGTGGATTAAAAAAGGTATGGTCCGTGAATGTAAAGCTGTGTATATTTTTCGCTGCCGTTAACAATGAAATAATCTTGTTCGTATTGCCCGGAATAGTTTTTTCAGTAAAATTCCAATTACGAGCCAATGATTATTCTTGTATATAATGAAATTTTTCCTTGTTATTGGTTGATGTTTAAATAGGGAACTTTGTAGTAGTCGATGAAAGTGGGAGAGAAGAGGCGGAAGAATCTGGTAGGAAGGTGGCAGGCTTTGTTAGGCAAGTGCTTTACCACGAGCAAATTCGTCTGCTTCAGAAATCGTTAGAATGGTGCTTCCCTAACCTTTCTTGAAAATGCAGTTGAATTTGTTGATTTGGTTTTATAATTTCACGTTTCCTTTGTTCTAATTTTGCTCGGTGGTGGTTCTCAACTCTGTACTCGTAGGCCGGAGATTTTTAAATCCATCTCCCAAGAAAACCCGAAGGAAGCTTTAGAGTGCTGTACTTCCCAAAAAGATGATGAAGATTCTAGCGATGACGATGGACTTCCACCTTTGGAAGCAAATACAAATAGAGTAAATCCTCTCAAGTTGTATGTAGAGTCCGAGTCGGATTCTGACGATGATAATTGTTCTTAGTTCATGCATTCTGATAACAGTTTTGTATCCAACAGATGTGATCACTTACACATTACGTTTCTTATTTTTGACCGGATTTCTGGGGTATGTTTATGTATGAGATTTGAGCATTTTATCGATACCTATTGCTACTACAAGTGATATGGATAGTTCATGGAACTAATTATATTTGCAGACGCGAAACTGTGTATGTGTGCTTCTCATCGTATTACTTTGAAAGAGTAGACAGGTTGCAGGTAAATTCCAGAATTTGAACTGGACTTGAGCAGGAACTCGAGTTTTAAATCCTTTATTTTGTAATATTTTCGTGTGGGAAATATAAATTCAGAACTCAAAATTTTATCCTCGGTTTGTTAGGAAGTAAATACTGTTACAAAACAAACTATACCATTGGTTGGAGTGGAAATCAGAATTGACTTCCTAATTTCCTCATTTTTTAATCGAAACTTTTAGACTCCGGAACAATATTTTTCATTCAGAATTACAAAATTTCTTGATTTTTTTCTGTTTTCCAATTTTTTTGGGATCATAATTGAATATATATATCAGATTTATAGTGCCTAAAAAAATTGAAGCGGTCAAATTTTGGCTAACAAAGAACAGGAAAATTCCACCGGAACTCCGTTGAACGGATTTCATCACGAAAAGACACTCATTCCTCCCCTTCCTCTCTTGTTCGGCTCTCCCTCCTTGCGGGATCTATCTTACTCCGGCAGAATATTCTCCGACTTCACGGAGCCCAATGTTTCACTTTGAATTTTCGATATCCCCTGATTTCCATTTGATTTTTTTTTTTTGGAACAAGTATTTTAATTTCAATTTCCGTTTTTTCCGAGTTTTTTTGGAAATAAATTGGAATTGTTTTTCATTTTCGAGAAATATTAGAATTTTTCCTAAAGTGTTAATTTTGATCCGATCTATTCAATTTCCACATTCATTAGAGAGTAGGCATGACCATGATTCTGAGTCGACCCGGATTGGAGCCGAGTTTCAATGGGCCGGTTTATGGGATCAATGGGTCCACGACCCGGAACCGGACCAGTGCACCAAGGTCAGTTAAGGTTTTAAATTTTTAAAATTTTTTTTGTAAATTTAGGTGCATATAATGTATGCTTATGGATTTAGATCTCCGGATCTCGAACCAGGCTAGTGTTCTATATTAATAAGTTTACGAAGGGTCAACCTCTAGGTTACTATTCGTTGTGGTCGCTGTTCACATTGACACATCATATGGTCGTGTGGCTCGCCCCGAAAGGATTTACCGATGGCAGGGCTTTTGGTATTACGCTACATATGAATGATCTTGTTATCGGCGATTTGGCAGTAGCAGGTTGTTGATTATTTTTACGGCGAAGATCAACTTGTAAGATTATTATTTTGATTGAACCTGCGGGTTGAACCATCTAAACACATGGGTCGAACCATGTAACCGCCGGTTTCCCACCCATTTTTCTGAAGAAAAAAAATCAAAAAACAAATAAAAAAATTAAAACAAATAAAAAATTTTATAAAAATTGGAACAATGAACCTAAAGATGGAACAAGCCTGAAAATCGCGTGTTTCAACTTTCAACAGGTGATTAAGGGTCGAGATCTCGAAATCGAACCTTAGACATGTCTAGTAGAGAGTAGAGGTGTGAACAAGCCGAGCTCGGCTGTTTTGACGAGCTCGAGTCCATTTTGTCGAACTCCAACCCAAGCTCAATTTGTTTGTTTTTTTTTTAATTATTAACAAATAGTTATATCATAACAAAGAATTACAAAATAAATTATGACCCTTATATATATATATATATATATATATATATATATATATATATATATATATATATATATATATATATATATATATATATATATATATTAAATTTTTATATATTCGTTTTATCTTATTATTATAACATTTATATTATTTAAATAAAAAAAAACGTATAAAAATAAAAAATAAAAAATAAAAAATAAAAGGAAGGGTCGTTAGCCGATTTGTGAGTTTACGAACAACTAAGAAATAGTTCGAGCATTTTTCGAGTCAGCTCAGCTCGTTTACCACCCAGAGATTAAAAAGTGGAATTATTTTGTTTGCTTTCGTTTGGGCCTAATAAATCCATATGGGGCCTAAAAGGAATTTCAGAAAGCTCAACACAACACAGGTAACCGTGGATTCATGCGACACGTGGCACTTTCCATTTCACTAGCCAAGCGGATATTTTTGTCAACTCCATGCTTCGACGACGTCGTTTAAACTTTCTTTCCCAGTTAATGTCAACAAGAAATAGAAAATAAAATATGTCGTATAACATAAATAAATAAATATAAATTATTATTACTTAAATGTAACAGACACTCTGCCATATTTCCAACTCAGTCTCCCATTCTTCACCCAATTTAGAAGGGGAGAAAGAGTAGAGAATGGCCGGAATCTCAGTGCTCAGAGGCACCACCGCTTACGGCCGCTTGCCTCTGTTTCATTACCCTCAGGTTCGTCCAATTCCACCTCCGCTGTGTTCTGTTTCTGTAGGAATTTCACGAATTTGAATTCATTGATTATTATTTTTTTTTTAATTTTTTGTTTAATCTGATGACATATGGTTATGGTTACAGTTGCCGGTATCTATAAGCGTATCAGCAAGCAAGCAAAAATACGGTCGTGGAAAGTTTTCCCTCTTCGCTCGATACTCGCAGTCACAGGACGTGTTCACCACGCGTCTTCAAGGTAGTGTAATATGCCTACATCGCTAATTGATCATGTGTAAGGCTTGATTGTACAACTGATCTATTAGGTTTCGGTCCAATCGTATTATCTGGATTAAGTATTTGTGTAATTTGGGGTTTTGGTTTGGTTCAATTAGCATTTGAATTCTCATTATTTGAATTTTATGTTGCCAGCAATTTAAAGTGAGTCGAAAATTATACGAAAAATAAGGGAAGAGCAGAGATTGTCTTTTTTTAATTTTCACGTTCTCGATTATCAGTTTATACAGCTGTGTAAACAATTTTTGTTATTTGTGTATGTCGTGTCACTGTAGCGACTAAAGTGCTGAGTAGGCATTTTGCATTTTAACTGTACTAAATATGTAGTGAATAATGAGAGTATGAAATTCTGATGTGCTGCAGATAGCATTGAGAACTTGCCGAAACTTGTGGAGGATATTATACAGACATCCATAAATACAGGCCCTCGTGGTGCTCTTAGACTAGCTCAAGGTATACAAGCTGTTATTGGTGTTGGTAGCGAGTGGCTGGCTGATGCTTCTAAGGTAATTTTATTAGGTCCTCTTTCGAATTTAGAATATTATAAGGTTTTCTCGAGTCTTTTTGCTATCCACAGTTCTTGTTCACTGTTTGGAGTTACCTACTTGGTGAGTGTTTGTAGTATTTTGACGATTAGCAAAAGTATTTTCGTTCTGATCTTTCTAATTAGTCTATTTGTGTCCTGATGTCTTAATGTGATTTACCAAAATCGTATTTGTAAAGACTTGAGGTCACCGAACCTTTTTCTTTAAATGGGAATATCTTATGCAATCTAAAGACAACCTCGTTTAATTATCCTTAGTTAACCAACTAAGTAGGAATTCCATGCTTTTATGTTTCTGAGACTGGCACTGCATGAATAAATTCCTGAGGTTGGTAAGTGCGATCTAACTGTTATTTAATTATATATCGATGATGACACGAGTTCTACTACTCTTTAACCTCTGTAGACAGCAAGTTCGCCTAGTGGATTAGCGACTGAGTTGCAGCTTGGATTATTATCACCCGTTTACTTGAGGAAATTATTCGAGCGCATGGGGGCAACTTATATTAAGTTAGGCCAGGTAAATAAACAATAATTCTTCCATATCTCCGTGTCTGTGTATCTAAATCTCCATTTTATTTTTTTCAGAGGTAGAGGGTAAAGTTCTAAGATAAATAAGCCCAACAAACTTTCACCCTTTTATTTTGAAAAATGCAGTTAATAGCATCTGCACCAACATTATTTCCTCCAGAGTATGTCCAGGAGTTTCAGTACTGTTTCGACAGAGCTCCTTCAGTTCCGTTCCAAGAGATTCAAGCAATTTTGCGTGAGGAATTAGGCAAGCCGATTGATAGTGTCTTTGAGTACGTGGACCCTACGCCATTAGCTTCTGCATCCATAGCGCAGGTTTATTTTATTTATCATAGTGCTTCTCTTGTACGCCTCGATTTGGGTAGTATTGTATGGTGAAGTGTGAAGTCGACTAATTGAATATATTAAGGACTTCGTATTTTATTTCAGGTGCACGGTGCTAGGATAAAGGGTACTCAAGAGGATGTAGTGATAAAGGTTCTAAAACCGGGAATAGAAGATATCTTGGTCGCAGATTTGAACTTTGTGTATGTTGTTGTGCGCATCTTGGAGTTTTTGAGCCCCGAATTGAGCAGAGCATCTCTGGTACGAATTCAGTTGCCATTGTTAATTCTTGAAAGTGATTTTTGCCCTTCAAACACAAGTCCGTGTTTCTATAATGAATGCAAATTTTGATCAGAAAATATTCCGAGACATTTATCCTCGTATCACTAAATAATCGCATCTAAAGACAACTTTGTACTCCGTGCACCTAGCCTGCCCTGTTTTTTCCTTTCTTTACTATTCATTTATATATTGAGGTTTCAATATAAAGGAAAAATCAACGTACCTATTGAGAGGTGATTAGCCCTTAATACGACAACAGAACTTCTGCTTGTTGTACTTCGCATTTTTCATTAATCTTCAGAATGTCGGGCTGAATTGCAACATAAAAATCAGAATCTTTTCAATTAGGTCTTGTACGTAATTCCTGAATACACCATCTAAGTCTGTTTGATGTAACAGGTTTTTATTTTATTATTTATCTGATATGCTGTTACTTCTAGATTGTTAAATTTCTTGAATCGTGTTGCGTGAAGTTTTTATCTAATACAGAAGTTGCAATGATAGGTTGCGATTGTCAAAGATATAAGGGAGTCGATGCTCGAAGAAGTCGACTTTAAGAAGGAGGCTAAAAATGTAGAGTCTTTTAAGCGATATTTGGAAGCTATGGGACTAACGAGGCAGGCTACAGCTCCAAAAGTATATCCAGAGTACAGCACTACTCGGGTTCTTACAATGGAGAGGCTTTACGGAGTTCCTCTCACAGACTTAAACTCCATTAACACTCTCGTTCCGAATCCAGAGACTAGCCTGATAACTGCCTTAAATGTCTGGTAGAACTCAAAAATCGTAGCTTGAATTTATATACATACCTGTACGCACGTGTATATGTATAGCACATAATGAACATGTTCGTATATTTGTGTAGGTTTGGTAGCTTGCTTGCATGCGAATCCTTTCATGCAGACGTACACGCAGGCAATCTGTGGTTATTGCGTGATGGACGTATTGGGTTTCTCGACTTTGGTATGTGTCTGGGTATTTCCTTTCTGTGTTTAAATGTTAAATGTTCTTAATCTGTTTTATTGCATGATGGCTTATTTTCTTTTAATCTTTAGCATCCACGAATATTAGCGGAAAAGGTGACTGCTATAATTTCTTCTTTGTTGGCTTGATAGAATAAACATAATTAAAATTTCTATAAGTTTGATAGCTACAGTTCTGGCCATTTGGAGACTTATGTTGTACGCAAGGAAGTCGTATTACTTGCTAATGTTTTTTTCGAAAAAAATAAAAAATAAAATCTAACATCAACTGTTTATTACCGTAGACATTCCATGATCTTTCACTAGCTCATGTACATACCAACTTGTTTATTTGTCAAAATAAAAACTATGTCTTCCTAGTTTTGCTTTCCTTATGATTCTTGGATCGAATTACCTTATGTCCTTGATTACTGGATTATTATCAATAAAACTTTTTCCAAATCCAAATAACAAGGTATATAAAAACAATATAAATTGGTAAACAGGAATTGTCGGGCGCATATCTCCAAAAACTTGGGGTGCCATGGAGATATTTCTGGCTTCATTAGCAACTGAAGAATACGAGTCAATGGCTTCTTCCTTGATCGATATGGGTGCTACGAGCCAAAATGTCGACTCTAAGGCATTTGCAAGAGATCTCGAAAATATATTTTCCTCCATACAGGTAGGCACTTTTTGTTGCTTACAATTGTCTTTTTTATTTATTGGTTTCGTTTTTTTCTTTTTTTTTTTTTTTTCTGTTTTTGTTAATTTGTTTCACTTTCATTAATAATTATATTTTAACTCACTGTATACGATGTGCTGGCACAGGATTTGGACACAGAAATAATTGTTGCTGCTGCCAGAGAACCAAATACTAACGCCACTGCAGTTTCTGCCAATCTTCGTGTCGACGAGAGACAAATGAATGCACTGTTTCTTGATTTGGTAAGGATGTTATTCAAAATTTGAAATTGGTTCTTCAGTCATCGTAATATATAAACAAATGAAATAGCGAATGCTTACTTCTAGTTTAATTTTGATGCGCATGTTCTCGAACAATTGGTACACTTAATTCTTGGTTGCTATATCTTATTGCTGATTCTTGATTGTGTGTGTGAAATAGGTTCGAGTAAGTGAATCGTATGGGCTGAGATTTCCCAGGGAGTTTGCGCTTCTTATGAAGCAGCTTCTTTATTTCGACCGATACACTCGACTGTTGGCTCCCAATTTGAACATGCTGAGAGATCAGAGGATAACTATTGCTTCAAATCAGAGCAGCAGAAGCACTTACCGGTGAAGTTTCATAATAATGGCAGCAGTGTGTATATCTTTCTTTACTGTGGGGTGATATTGTAAGAATTTACTCCTTAAGCAATTATTCCCCTTAAAACTCCCTCAGTATATAAATATATATTTGAAATCAATATAGACTGTTGTATATAAATATGGAACAAGCTGATAGATCCTTCTATATATATATATATATATCGAGTAAGTTGCCTCGTATGGATTTTATCTGTTGGGCCTCGTTTCGTTTCTAAAATAAGAATAGCCGAAATAAGATTAAATAATCTAATAAAAATCCAATTGTATTATTGAACCGTGGGAGGTCTAATAAATAATCCTTGAAAACACAATAGGTCATGATAAAATAATATATGTGGGTCGACCCGAAAAATTATTCGGTTTACTAAATATGAAACAAAATCTAATTATTTAATCTATCATGATTAATCTCCCCAACCAAACAAGGCTTTAGTGTTCGGAGGTCAGACCGAAATCACCGGCCGTTATTAAGCACCGGGCGGGAGAACAACAAAAAGTAAACAACAGATGCAGCAACAAAGTGTGCATTGGAAAATCAGACAAGCATTTTAAGAATATTAAGTATAAAACAAAAGTTCATAGTCCACAACCATTGTCTGAACATCAATTAACTAAAACAACTCTAAAGTCTAAACAAATAGTAGCAGCAATTGAGACTCAAATTGCTGCAACCTTAATCAAAACCCTGGATCAAATAAGCATATATAAATAGCACCACTGGAAAAGCAACTAAAAGAAAAAGGTATATCTTAACAAATAATAAACATCAAAGCATATATATGTAGTTATATATATAGAAGAAAAATACCAAATTTAGGACACCACAGCCATGGGCCGTTTGCGCATAACACATTCTTCACGCAGTTCCACATACGCGCTTTTGAAGTGATCGAGCGAAAAACACAGTTGCCTTATAGCTTCCCTTTTTTCCTCGGAAGTATCAGAGATCATTTCTGCCTGCATTTTCACCTCTTTCTCCAACTCATTTATTTTCGACTTTAGTTCATCTCTTAGCTTGTTTAGCACCTTGTTTTCAGAATGTAACTCATTCAGATTGTGCTCTAAACGTTGAATTTCACTATCACGAGCGCTTAGGTCAGCAATGAGTGTCTGTAACTTGGCAATTACTCCATCTTTCTCAGCATTTAGCATGTCGTACTTCAGTTTCATCCCATCAAGATTCTTGTTCAAAGTGTTCACTAGTTCGTTTTTCTCGGATACCTCTACTTTAACACGCTCAATATCATTTTGCCAATTGATATTCATGGCTTCTTGCTTTCTCTCCATCTCGATTTTCCCAGCTTCGAAATTCTTGATCTGATCGGCTAATGATTCGCATTGCATCTGCAGATTTTCGGTTTTCGCCTCGTGGAATTTCAATTGTTCGGACAAGCTAGAGACAGAAGACTCTAGTTGCCATTTCTCCAGAGCAAAATTTCCCGAAGCGTCTAGTAGTTCGGCATTCAGTTTCTTTATATCAAGATCGCGATCCGATAATTCTGCTGCGTACTTTTTAACACTCCCCTGCAACTCGTGCACTTGCATCTTCTCCGACTCGAGGTTGGATTCCAAATCAACTATTTGCCTTTGGAGCATCAGAGATCTTCCATTCTCCTTTTCCAGTTCAAACTCGTGCAATTTAACTTGATTCTTTGCAGAAAGAAGCTGGGCTTGTAAACTACCCACTTCGACCGCGGCCGCTTCACTATTTCGAAGTTCGCTCCTCAATTGCAATATTTCTTCTTCGGCAGTACGAAGCTTCTCGTTCGAAACCTTCAATTCTCTTTCATAGTCAGATATTCGTCTCTCTAGAATCTCACATTCTTCTGCCTTTTTTATGTCATGTATGTGCTCTTGCTCAGTCTCCATATGTATCGCTTCGTGTTTCATCATTTTGCCAGAAGAAAGCGAACTCGACCTCTCGCCACGAGAAGTGTAATAAGATTCCGAATCAGAATCTGACGACAGCGACGAAGATTCCGATCCTGGAGTTGTGTCTGAAATCCCACCACCCGAACTTAGAGATATATCAGAACCAACCACTTCGCCTTCAACTACACCATGCATCGTCAATTTCTTGTCCGGAGTTTGAAAAAGAGGGGCTAATGGAGAGCCAAAACTAGGCTTTTCGTAATTCTTCAATCTGTTTACTGATTTCACATAACCACCGCTCAACTCTCCCGATAACTTTTTGTAGTGGTCAGCCAGCAAATGGTGCCTTTCGGAAATTTCCTTGACACGAGCAATCAACTCGGGCTGCTTCGAATTGCTATCGACAACCTTTTCGAATGAAAAATGTTCTTCATCTTCAATCAACAGCAGCATTTCATTGACACTCTGATCTAAACCTGCAACAAGAAAACTATTAGTATTCCCCTTAGTCCAATTTTGTGTTACTGCTTACAACTTAATATCTTGTATACGAATAATGAAGAAAACGGAGATTAATTTTCTCAGAAGTTGGGCAAAACAGCTTAAATGCTTACCCTTGACATTTTCTGCAACCCATTCGGGGTTCTTCAGACAAATCTGACTGTTCCACGATGGTGAATCCAGCTTACTCACTTCATTCTCCATTTTTGCCCTGATTAAAAAGATTAAACGAGAAGAGACCTAAGAAAATTTGGGAACTTAGTTAATTAAACATATTTGGCTATTTACAAGCACCAGTTTCAAGAAAAGAATAACCTAAATTATTGCAAATTCTATATAAATCAGGATAACCATTAATTGGTTCGGGAAAACAAGAACCTAAATTATTAATGGTTAATTAATTGCAAATTTGGGAACTTAATTAATTATTGCAAATTCTATATAAATCAGGATAACCATTAACCAATTATTGCAAGCCTGCAGGGACTTTGTGCTTGATTTACCACATATCAGAGAAATTATTTTTTTAGGTGGAAAGTAAATAAATTAGACTAACTAACACTAAGCTCAACAATTCTGCATATGTTCATAGCAGTACCATTTTTCAGTGAGAGAAAATTCACTCCACCAAAAACAAAAAAACTCCTACTCAGATCAGAAGGAATCTCTGTAATACACTTGTTTCCATGTTCGGATCCGGATTTTCATTCTTCAACTAGATCCAGTTACAGTAGATTTGACATACTCGGATTTTTTTTAACAATTCAATTTTGATTATACTTCCTTTGCCAAATAATCTAATGCAGTCACTAAAACTCAATCAATTACTTAACTGAAAAAGGAAAAAAAAAAACACAGATGATCAAATGAAAGAGAATACGAGATGATCGGAAAACAGCAGAACTTTGCAGTGACAAAATTTTAATCACACGCGCGCAGAGATAAATAAACAGCTTCAATTAGATTTATACACAGCAGAAAGCAGAAAGAAAATTGAAAAAAAGTTAAGAACTCACCTGGAAATGCAGAGAAGAAACACCGACGCTGAGGCACCAACTGGAAAGGTCAGATTGAAAGGTTAGAGAAGCAGATGAAGAATGAATTCTAGAGAGAGAAAAGAAGAGAGAGAGAGAGAGAGTATGTGGAATTGTGAATGAATGTTAAAAAGGGGAAAACAAGAGGAAATGGGTGACAAATAACATCAATCCCAATTTTGGGGCCATGTTTCCCGCCTCCCAACGTTCGAATTTCGCCAATTTCCATTTTAAATTTTTTTTTTCAGAGATAACGTACAAAACACATGTCATATTCTCCTTGTATTGGAACTTTATTCCCATTATTGACTTTTGTATTTCACTAATTAATTTTTTTTGGCAACACCTAGATGATTTTACATTATATTTTATAAAATAATTAGTAAAGTTTTAGGATATGATGTGAGTTTTTATGGGGTAATTTGCTTAAAGTTTTGAATGATATAGAAATTTTGTGAATAGAGAAAAAATAAAAAATCAGAATTTTGGATATTGAAATTTAAAATAAACGCGGAGAGTTTTTTTTAACTATTAGAGTTAAGGGCGGATTTCGATCCGAATAATTTCAATTTTGGAACAAGTTCGCTATTTGATTTCAATTTCCCGAAATTCTTGATTTTTTCCGATTTTTTTCTCGAAAATGCTAATTTCAATTTAACCGGTTCGACTTGTACCTACTCTACTTGGTTTAATAGAAAAAATGAAGTACCATAAATGCAAACATTTATGTGAAGTGTGCAACTAAATGTAGAGTAAACATGAAATTTACAACTTACAAGTGACAAAATAAAGTGTGGGATGGTTCTTAGCAATGTTTTCAGAACCGGACCGGCTATAGAACCGGACGACCATTTGGGTCATGGGTTTATAGGGTCGAACCGGTTCAACCGGGTTTTTGATTTTTTTTAATATGTCATTATTTTATTAATTTTAATGTTTTAAATTTTTTTTTTTTTATGTTTTTAATCTCCGAGTTATTATTTTCACTTTGATCTACTTCACCTCACTTTTTACTATATTTTATTGCTTATATTCTATCTTTTTTCCATTTTTTATTCTTCAAATCCGGCAATCGGTCACCCCTATTCGATCACCCATGATCATATCCGACAATTTTTCGACCACTCATGATTAGATCCAGCCACCCACTACTAAGTATAAGAAGGTTCGCTCAAATCTAGCCACAAATAACCAACTCAACGGTGATTTGAGACGTTTTGGCAAAAAACCGGGTTCTATGACTGACTCGGCGGTTCTCGGGTTTTACCCGGTCGAACCGGATTTTGGTCATTTGACCCCGGTTTTTGATTTTTCCGGTTTTAGATGTTAGACCGGACCGCTTTATTGCCGGGTCACGGTCGAACCGGTCCGACCGGCCGGTTCGGTCCGGTTCTAACAACATTGGTTCTTAGGACAAAATAACTAAATATATGACAACTATTCAAATATGTGAAAGCAACAAAAAAAAAAGAAAAAAAAATTACTTTTTTTTTTATCTTTTTTATTTTGACAAGAACAAAAAACTTATTAAAATATAGTGATTTCTTTTTGTTTTTTTCTTTTTGGTATATGTTATGAGTTATCCATATTATTACAATGTTGATTTGAAATGAGATTATAATAACCCAAAAACTAAAAAACACAAGAAAAAATACAAAAGAAAAATAATTGCCAGCTATTATACAGCAATCATTAGGGGCAGTTTGGGTATATATACAAAAGACCGCTGAATAGCCCGCCACAATTCAAATATGTGTAGATTCCATTGACTATGTGATAAAATATTGTGGCCCTATATCAACAACTTGTTCAAAGTTTTTATTTCATGTAGGGAAACTTTACACTACATGCAGAAAATAATATTATCTTAAATTTCATAACCATATGAGCAAGAAACAAATGAAAACTTATTAGATAACTATTTATTATCATAGGATCCGATTTAATTTGGTTCGACATTCTTGTTTTTTTCCCCTTGTTTTTAGGACACATTACTCTTATAAAATTATAATGATACAAAAATATAAATAAAAGATTGAATAAAATAATTAACAGTGAACTTTAACAATATGAGTAAACCTTAAATCTACTCTCAACCATTGTTTCACTTTCACCCAAAAACCAAAATAGGGAAGCACATATTAAGCACACAAGCTTTCAAAAAAAAAAGCGCAGACTCGGATCTCATAAAAGAAGAATTTGAGGGTTTAGATCAAAATTAGGTCAATTTATGTGTCTTATCCACTTCCGCTATGCATGCCCACTATAAATAAGACTAAAGTCAAATGTAACCGGTGAAGGCAACACCAGAGAGTCAAAGTCACCGCGTATACGATGGCATTTGACTTATGGATCATGGTTACCTAGTCTCGTACAGTACAAGGAAGAAGAAGACAGAAAACGCAGCGGACAAGATATGGCTGCAAATGTGAGAGAGAATAGAGAAGGAGGGACTATTTAGGTGAGGAAATAAAATGTTAGGATTAAACTGCTTCGATCCGACATTTAGAATTAGTATTTAATCAAACTTGAGCTCAATGAGTACTGAACTTTTCATGGTAGTGAACAGATTTAAGGAGAATTAGGCATTATGGCCCACACATGTGGGCCGAAACCACAACAAAAAGTTTGAGAAAAAAATTGGTCATGTTTGTTTAATTGTTTTCTTAACTTGATTTAAATTTGTTAGACCGTTTGATTGGCAAGATAAGATTAATCAACATAAAATTAAATAATCTAACGAAACTTAATTATTTTATTGGAGCTCGCGACGTCCAACAAAAAAAAAAACTCACTCGAAGATAAACCACGATAAGGCAAGATAAGCCATGATTATATAATTTTAGCGGGTCGACCGGGCAATTTATAGTTGGGAATATCAAACATCATATTAAGTCCAACTATTTGGTTGATCTTAGCTTATCTTGGCAACCAAACGGAATTAGTGTATTAATTAGTTTGGGTCTATTATAAATAAATTCATCGTGAGAAACTTGTTCATAAATAGATCCAAACAAAAAATTATCTTACTAAAAAATTCAGAAAATGTTCGGAGGTGTGAAAAAATATGATCCAATTTCATAATTTAATTTATCTTGAATTTGATCTCAAATTTCACCAATTATTAAATTGACCCATTACCCAATTTCGACTACAATTTTGCCCATCGCCGTCGTTTACCGCCGGTCTCCGGGGTTGATTTTTTTTTTCTATCTATTTTTTGGCCGTTTAAATTTTAAACAGTAATATTATTGTGGTTGACGCTCATACTAACTATATTACTGTTTAACATAATAATATTGTTATATTATTCTCTTGCACAGTAATATTAACATAACAAAAACCATTATTATTGTATAATAAAATAATATTAATATGTTATTGACCGTTCAACAAATGCAAACATAATAAAAAACCAAAATTTTTAATATTGATGTAGTGTCAACCACAATAATATTACTGTACGACAGTGATATTACCGTAATCACAGTAATATTATTATGTTTACAATAATATTACAATGGTGGAGAATAATATTATTACGTTCACCAGTCAACAAATCAAACAAAATAAAAAAGACCAAAAAAAATTGATGTGATTGATAGTAATATTAATTTGTTTAGAATAATTTTACCGTCAATGACAATAATATTATTACGTTGACTGGTTCGGTCAACAAATCAAACAAAATAAAAAATTCAAAATAATAATAATAATATGGTTGGCATTAATATTATTATGCTTACGGTAATTGTATATTCAATGTTGTTAGTTGACCGGAAAAATATTATTAGCGACAGTACAATTACTGTCAATGATAGTACAATTACGGTCAACGTTCAGCGTCATGCGTAAAAAAAAAGGAATAAAAAATTTAAGAAAAAAAAATATTTTTTTAGTTTTTTCGATATTTTTGTTTTTTTAACTTTTTTTTTTTTATTTTTCAATTTTTTTTTTATTTTATACAAATTTTTTTTTTAAATTGAATATATCATTGTGATAAAGAAATGAAAACTAGAAATACAATTTTGTCATTAACGTATCTAATCTAGCACAACAATTTTATTGGACCTCTCAAGACCTAATTGGTTATCTCTCAATTAGCCATGATAAGCCATCACAAAATTATTAAGCCTGACAAAATTATTTTGGCAGGTTGACCCAAAAAATAATAGGGCTAACTAAAAATCAAACTAAAGTTTTCAATTTAGTTAGTCTACCTCAATGTATAACAATTATATAAATAAAATAGAATTTCAAGATTAATTATGTCAATATTACATTGCATTTGAAATTACATGTATACATATTTAGGCAACACTACTTTATATTCGACTATCAGATTTTTGTAATATGACATTACTTTCTAAATTAACATGCTATCAGATTTATGCAATATCTGCATTATATGTTTGAAATCACTGCAATGAAATTACATTCTATCATCTATATATATGTATACAAGGTTCATAAATTAGAATGACTCAGCAGCCTTTGTATTTGTCCTGCAACAAGTACATGACATTTCAAGAATATGGCTTCTCAAAATTTGATTTTCTTGGTCACGCTTATGCTTATAGGCACCGGTTAGTCTCTCTCTCCAATAGTTCGGGGGAGGGGCAAATTAGTAAAAAAAATCCGAGGGGGTTGTTAATTCTATTGTACACATCTCTTTTTATATTTATCTATAAATTAATAGAGATTTGAAAAATGTTGACAGAGTCGACCCATCCCAACTGTATGATGGTTTCGCCAGTGATACATAATTTTTAAATCAAGCATAACATAGTTATAGAGACTTTCCAATTACCCTCCTCACAAAATAATATTATTTAAATTACCCCTCATGAGGGTGAAATCGATATTTTTTAGCAATATTCCACCGTGAGGGTACTTACTATGAATAAGTGAGGGATTGTTTTTTAATTTAACCATAGTTCAAGGGGTTTCTCATAATTTAGCATGTTCCTTAATTTAATTATATCATTAGGGCAACTAGATAATTTTATATGTATATTTACAACGACTAATGATTTATTTTTATTTTTCAAGTATCGGCGACTGATCGGTACAAATGCACGGTCGACGAAGACTGCGACCCGCTTCAACGTTCATTGTGCCGACCGGGACATAAACATCGAACAGTGTGTTATGACGGACTTTGTTATTGCGGGCCGATAGAGGACTGTTTAACGGATAAGGACTGTGAACCTATGACGAAATCTCTTTGCGGTGATTATCCTAGTACCGCATTTTGTTATCTACACATTTGTTTTTGCAAACACCATCCAACTGCTTTCCCGCCGATTAATTAATTAGTTAACAATGAACAACTGAGGACAACATCGTTAAACTTTCTCCTGAATAATTTCATATACAAGATGTACTAGTACTCTTGCTGCAACTAATATTGTAGTAATTTGCTTATTTATTAGTTCTAGTCCATCAAGTTTTAATAATTATCATATTTATTTCCAATCTTACCCTCTAGTACCTATCATATTTTTTTTTATAATTATCTAGTATTTTCGAAATTCCTATTAATGAGGCACCTAATCCCTCCCACTAATTAGGCTTAATTATATATTTTCCCTAATAAAACTGCTCCTAGTATAATTTATCTCAATTATTCATTTTTTCTCTCTTTCCATACCAACAATTTAATTCCTAAAAATCTGCTTCCAAATTCCTAAAAAATTGCTACCAAATATTAAAAAACAAAAAAAACAAAAAAAAAATCGGATTTTATTTATTTATTTATTTTATATTATTTTCGGACTTTATTTAGTCATTATTTATTTATTTTTATTTTTAATATTTTTTAATAAAAATATTATTTTAATTTTTTTTTAAACCTTTTTTAAAACAAAAAATTGAAATTTTTTTCTCAACAGGTTTTCAACGCCGAATATGACTATGGTTGAATATGACTATATGTGACTATAAACTGTAGTCATATTCTTTCTTTATATTGTTATTGTTTACATTTTGAACTTAAAAGTTCCGATTATATGGCATAGTCATGTTAACCAAATCAAATAAAACAACGAAGATTCCCTATTATTTACGAAAACAATTCAATCAACATCCACACAAAAAATCACAATTTGAATCTTGTTATTAGAAGTCAACTTGAAAACGAGAAGATAGAACATATTCAACAATAGTCGTATTCGAATATGACTACACTCATATTCGAAAAATACATAAATATGACTATAGTCATATTCGAATATGACTATAGTCATGTATGTTACTACTGCTGTTCAGATCTGGAAAAAAAATTCGAAAAACATAAATAAAGATAGAAAAATAACGAGAAAGAGGGACGGGAGTCGTCAAGGTCTTCATACACAAAATCACCCTGGCATATTTTCACCCCAAACGACCCTCCATACTTCAACACAATCATCAAGGTTGACGACATGATGTGCAGCACTACAAAAGAACATGAGAATGTGACTACTGTGTGAATAATTCTGCTGAATGAATCTCCACTATTCTGTAAATGCAATTCACATAATATTACGTGAATTCAGTTCAGCCACAACAAACACATTGAAACTTACACTAACATATCAAGTAACGCAAAAAAAAAATTACAATTCGAATAACTAAATACATAAATACGAATATGACTATAGTCATGTTGCTGCAACTGCATTCTCATGCTCAAACTTCATCTTTTCAAAAAAAAAATTGACTGATTAGTAACAATTGGAATATCAAAATCAAGCACAAATGACCCCAACAAATTTTAAATGGAAAATCTCTAAAAGTGAAGACTAAAAAATGAAAAAAAATCTCACCAAATTGTGATACTTTCACAATTTATATCCGGAGCTAGGGGGCACCAAATCCAATCTCCACCGTATAGTATATAAAAATATATACTCCGAATACTCTATCCAAATTTCGGCCACATCCAACGGTTTAATTGCACAAAAAACGCGTCCAATCTAGCTGCCCTGAATTATTAAGTAACAAAAACCAGCAGCGAGTTTTAACATTCGATCTATAGTTAGAGAAGTCTGATTCCAATCTCCACCAGTCATAAGTTATATTGCTGTGTTACGAGTCCTGTATAAAAATATCAAACCGATCCGACGGTTAGATCTTCCGATCTGGCCTCTGCACGAAAACTGTTGCATCTCAAAAACTTGATTTTTCTCCTCTTTTTTCATCCGGTCTTCGGAAGGAGAATCGAAACCCGGCGCCGGCGCCGAGTGCGGCTGAGTGGTCTCCATTGGCCAGTGGTGGAGTATTATGAGTCTGAAGAAAAAAAAACGAAGAGAAAGAGAGAGAAGTTGCGTGAGAAAGAGAAAGAATGAAAGAGAGATATATGGAGAAAATTAATGTAATCCTACAATCACGTGAGACGGTTATGGAAAATAAATATTGCAATAATTTTAAAAACTACTGATAAGGGTAGTTTCGTCTTATCCCAATTGTGGAGGGGGGTTTCACTAATTAAGATTGGACTTTGGGTATGGGCAAAAGTTTTAAAAGTCAAATGGATTTAACTCATAATATTTATGGTTTGAGGGGGGTTTTGCATATTTCCCCTAATAATAAACACCAATTTATTATATATTCCCAATTTTGCAACTTAATTATAAGTATTAGTAGGGATGGCAAACACAAACCCGGTCCATTAGCTACCCATGGGTGTCACTAGGGATGGCAAAAAACTGAATTTGCTTATTTATTAGTTTTCTAATATGTCATTATTTTATTAATTTTAATATTTTAAAAATACTATTTTCCCTATATTTTTAAATCTTCCACCTATTAATTTTATCAATATTTTTCCATTCTTTATTTTTAAATTCGGTAATCGGTCACTTCTATTCGATCACACATGACCATATCCGGAAATTATTCGACCACTCATAACTAGATCCGGCCACCTTCCACCAACCGTGAAGGTTCGCTCAAATTTGGCCACAAATAACCAACTTAGAGGTGGTTTGAGACGTTTTGGCCAAAAAGCGGGTTCCATGATTGACTTGCCGGTTCCCAAGTTTTACCCGATCGAACCGAATTTTGGTCATTTTAGCCCAATTTTCAAATTTTCCAGTTTTAGAGGTCAAACCGGACCGCTTCATCGCCGGGTCACGGTCGAACTGGTCCGACCGGCGAGTTCGATCCGATTCTAACAAATTTGTACGTCAAACCGTGAGCATTTGATAACGAAGAAAATTTATCGTAGAGACAGAAAAATATAATTATTTCAGTCGAACTTCAAATTTTTTCGTAGAATAATCCATTTTCGAAATATATCTAGCCTCCCCACTAAACAATTATTATTTATTGAAAGGAAATAATGGTTTTTGGGGGTGGGGTACACTTTTTGCTTAACACGGGCACGAGTGTTCTTTAGCCAGCTTTCTATGGCAAAAAAAGAAAAAAAAAGAAAAACTTGC